CAGGAATTGCCATGGGACTATCTGAATTTAAGTCATATGTTCTTCCACTGAAAAATGCCTCCTCCTGTGAGGATGAGGGCAATGGTGTTGATGATATCAACATGGGGCTCCCACTACCACATTCTCCTATATCTATTGGCTAAATAGACAAATAAACAACATCCACAATCTCTGGTGAAATACCATCATCTGTTGATTGCCTTTCTGGAAACGTTTTCTTGAAAGAGAAATTTACAGTTAACTAGAAAAGCATTTCAAATGTGGAAGGAGCAGTGGGTCGGGAGAGCTCCTATTCAGACCACAGGCTTGCCAGAGGTTATGCAACAAGACCTGACTACAAATTGAAAAATAGGCTAAGTATTATTCCAACTTTCAGCACATCCACTTGACTACATTATAATTTTAGCTTCCACCCAAACAAGTGCCTGTTTTCTATTTCCCTCCCTCTCCCCGTTTCTCCTGCATGCAATGGGGAGGGGGGGGGAATCACATCTTGAAAATATCAGGCAAGCTGGAAAAAACAACACGATGAAAAAGGCAACTCATGCATATGTAACTAGCTTATGTGTGTAGGACAATGTACAAAATAGCAGTTGGAAAGGTAAAAGCAAATCAAAATCATAGCATATAACATATGGGGTGGGGAGAGTTGATCCACAAAAGCAAGACGGAAACGAAAAGGGGGTGGGGGTGGAAAAACTAGGGCCCATGGAGAGGTCACTTTTTTTTTTTTTTGTAGCTCAGAAATGTCCCTGGGAACATAGGGTAGTTCCTAGGAGCATGTATTGTCACCATCACACAACATTGTTCCCAGGGGCAGTGCAGCCAGAGGCAGGAGCTGAGGCACTGCTTAAAGTAGAGGTTGCCAATGTGGTCTCCTCCAGATGTTTCCTGACCATACTGACTGAAGCTGAGGGTACTCTAGTCCTATAAAATCAGGAGGATACCATGTGAGCTATTCCCCTGGCCAAAACTGGTGCACAGAAACAAACTCTCTGGATTCTCCACCCCCCCATGGGGTTTTTTTTTATCTGCCATCTGGAAATTACTAAAATGGCATTGTGGATTATTATTATTATTAGGCAGGAGAGTTGGCATGGTTTGACTACAAACTGCTCATGATAAGCACCATCTTAGATGATGGGGAACAAGGAATGCCTCCACTAAGGAGCATTCCTTGCAATGCATATGTGTGTCATCTAAATGAGAAGCAGCCAATTTAAGACCTCCCATATGTTGGACTCCAGCTCCCAGCTGGCCCAGCTGAAGCAGCCAACAGTCAGGGATGATGGGAACTGTTGTCCAACAACATGCATAGGACATCATTGTTGGCCAGCCAGAAAATAAATAAATAAATAATCCTGTATTCATTTTCTTTGGCAAGTTGTTGTATTTTTTCCTCAGCACCACCAGGTTACCTTCTGTGAAATGGGTGTTTTATGACTAGCCACACCTCCCATGGCACTGATTTTGTAACAAGACTCACAGCTCTTTGTCAAAATTCCAGATGTGCCTACAGAATCAGAATGTTTGGACACCCTTGTCCTTTGGCGTTTCCTTGAATATAGGAAGCTGTTATATATCTATTGAATAACAACCATAGTCCTTCTGCCTCTCATTCTGTCTAAACTGACTGGGAACAGCTCTCCAGGATCTTAGGCAAGGGTTTCTCCCATTTCCTGCTATCTGGTCCTTTTAACTGGGAATGCTTGGAGATGAACCTGGACTGCCTGCCTACAAAATAATGTTCCACCTACTACTGAGCTACAGGTCCAACCCATTGCATGGGGGAGTCAGCAGAGGGTACATCTCCAAAGTATTGCATTCTTGGAGGATGTTGGTGTGGCCTGTTGCTTCGCTTCTTCTTTGGCCCACCCAGCTCCCAAGACAAATTGTACAGAAGGCCAGGAACCAGGGAACATGCAGGTTTCTGTATCTGATCAAGGTCTGGGTGATGAATGCCCAAGAAGCAAGCCATTTGTTAGATGTTTTCAGATGAAAGGATCTTGCCACAGTACTTGCCTTGTAGAGAACTGCGATTTACTATTTGTGCCAACATCTTTCTAAACCTGGGAAATTAATAGATAGTGATGCTATCCTCTAGATCGGATTTTGCTCTGGCTTTTTGTAAAGTCTAAAAAAGATGTTCAAGATTCATTGCTGGGTGCTGATGGCCACACACACATTTTCATGTCCTTGCCCTTCTGAGAGAAATAATCCAGAACAAATAATTATCACCCTGTGAGTCCATACTGGGAACCACCAATGCAGATTAAAAGCCACGTATTATTCATGAAATGCCTTTAAAGGGCAGGAGATCTGGGATACTTTTGTTGTGAAGACCACTTGTTGGTCTCTCTCTCTGTCTGTCTCTCTCTCTTACCCAGCCAACCACACCTACTGAATCTCTACTGAAAGAGAATTCTACAGTACTGGGCCAATAACACTGAAGGCTTGATTTCATGTTTTCATGAGATGAGCCCCAGTAACTTGGGAGACAACCAAAGACACTCCTACAGATGATCTCAGAGACTGAGCTGGGGTGTGAGGGCTCATGCCATGTCTAAGGTACCCTGGACCTAAGTTGTTCAGGGCTCTGTAAATTGATGCAAGAAGCTTGAGCTGGGTTAGTACTATTGCTTTGATTATTTCTATTTAGATGTGCAATTGTTTTGTGTGCTTTTTTACTGCTGAAGTTTTTGTTGTTAAATCACCACGAGATGTTACATAGGAAGCGATTAATCACAGAAATGTAAATAAATAAAATGAATGTAAGTATTGGGTTGTATCCATCTAAGTTCTACTCAGAGTACACCCGCTGAAATGAATGCACCTAGGCTTGTCATGTCCATCAAGTTCAGTGGGTTAACTCTGAATAGAACTAACATTGGATACAACTCACTATATGTCATGTGACAAAAGTCCAGTTTGAACATATGCTTATGTTCTTCCATACTGTGTGGAGACCAGAGGTCTAACTCGTTTGATCTCAGATGCTGCTTTAATCTGCAAATGATATGCGGTTGATTACATTCCTCACCCCATTAGCATCATGTTTCCTTTGCATTGGAATGAATGGGCTGAAATAAGCTTGTGGCAATGTAATTTACATAAGTTACACAATTTATCTAATTAATTATGTAAATTAAGTCATCTCTCCACAGGTGGTAACTGGTGCCCAATTGACTTGGTGGGGCTGCTATGAGGTCATGGGAGTGCAGCCAATGAGCCATCACAAGGGTGTGGTTTTCTTCTTATCCTCCTTCCTTACACTTAAATGCAGTTTTACAAATAGAACCTAACTAAACGGAATAATGTCTTATTTTAGCTCAGAAGTGGTCCCTCTTGTCACAATTTCTAGTGTGGGTTCATGTCACATTACTTAGAGGTAAGCCCCACTGAATTCCATGAAGATTGCTCCTGATAAGTATGCACAGGATTGCAACCTGGTTTACCTTAAAGGTGCCACTGTTTGCAAGGGACCTTACAAACTAGACCCATGTGAAATGATTGTTCCTATCCCCTCACTTATTCATAGAAAGTACAGCAGAAACCTGCTTGGCCAGAGAACAGTCGATGGACAGAAATGTTTGCCCACCTTATATGAGTTCAAGTAGAAGTATAAAATGTGTTTGGGACATAAAAGCTTGTGTGGCTTTGAAATTTTGTGGGATTTCTCTTTTTTTTTTGTTTAAATAATTGGCATTCTTGGAAGCTACTGTCGTAGGAGCCCCAGTGGACCAGCCTGCACTGTTTGCCACTCTAGGCAATGAGACAAGTAATGTAGATTTTGGCAAAATATGAACTGTAGCAAGGGGGGGGCGGGGAACAGTGATGCATGCAGCTAATACAAGGCAGAAGAGAAAATGAAGCCTTCTCAAACCCCTATCAGCATCTAAGGAGATATATATGGAAGGTAGATGCCTCCTTCACCAACAACATGTGGCAAAACATGCACTATGAAATAAGTTATCAGCTGCTGTGGGGTGCCATAAAATATTGCAATGATAATGCACAATGGTGCATGTCTGGGAGTGTATCAGAACGTTTTGTTCCATAACATACTTAGTCAAAGTAAGCAGCTTAGTGCATTAAATATGTTTGGAAAGACGCCCTTAGGCATGGCTTTGTCATGAGGTCTTGAGTAAGTCAGTAGCTCTCAGCTTCAGTCCTCTTTCTGAAGAAGCAGTAAAAATACATAAATCCCCAAATTATACATTACAACCATTAAAAACAACTGGATTTAAGATCTTATTGCCATGGCTGTGGAAGAAGAGACTTGCTAGACGTTCTGAAGCAGTATGACCAAGAGGACCAGTGGGGTGGAACAGGGAAAGACTGAGGCTCAGATTGGTTCAAATCCCTGCTCAGCCATGAAGTTCACTGACTTTAATATATGAGCTATTTGAAAGAAGTGTGGGACAAGTAGCAATGTATGTACATCGTTGTCTGCAATCTTAAGGGCATGTGTTAGGGACAGCTCAGTAGGACTTTGAAGCAAACATGTGTAGCATCAGGTAACAATAAGGACTGCAACAACAGGCAGCTGTTTTCATTGCATTGCTTTCAACAGCTGTTAAAAACTGCAAGCCTACCAAGACACATAATTTTATTAGGCATAGTTGTTTTTAAAAGTGTTGATTTTATTCATATTTTGACAATTTTATTATGCCTACTATTTTAATGTATTTTGCCCCCTTATTATTATTAGATTACTTCAATATGCTGTATAGGAAATTATATATAAGTGAAATTATATCTCTCTTCTCCCCTCACCAGCTACTGTCCTCTGCAATAGAGTTAGTTTACACATATCATTTCATTTTACTCCATGATGCGTAAAGCAGTTGAGTAAATCTTCGATTAAGCAGTTTGTAAATCTTTCTAAACAAATAAATAAGAAGAAAGTAATATGAAGACCACAGACCATAAGTCTTGTTGAAAATGAGGATGCTTTTGATTGCAAAGGAAGACCTTTCCTTTGCCCTGGCAGACCTTACCATATCACCTTTTCTTCTTTATACTTGCCCGCCTGTGTTAAGTGTCGGTCTTGAAGTGTCTGCTTTGAACTTGAGGAATGACAACGGCCTCCAGTGTCATCTAATTCCTTCCACTTCACTTCAGCTAGAGTGCAGCACAGAGCAGAATATGTCCGACTCTTCGTAGCCTCTCTGACCAGTTCCTCTCCCCCCCCCACTGCACCCTCCATCCCTTTCCACCCCACCCTTCGCACTAAAAAGTTATTTCTATCTAAATTAGGTCACACAGAGGGAGAGCTGGGAGTGTTTTTGTGAGGTCAAAGGGTCTACTTCTTGGTCCCCAATGTCGCCCTTTTCTTCCTACAGTGTTATTTTCATCTTTTGTATTACTGAGAAATTCATACATTGTGTTTGCCTTTTGTAATCCGGCTCTTAACAAGGCCGCCTTTGTCAGACTCACAAAGGGCAATAAACTCTGGTTTGCCAATAAGCCCTCATAACTGCTGGACATTATGACTGATTATAATGCTGCAAAAGCTCTTTGAGGGCTATAAACCTATATTGAAAGACAATCGCAGGGAGAGAAGAGGGGAGGGGAAGGAGGAGGCTATTGAATTGACACAGTACTCATGTAACCCTGTGGGGGCATAAGGGACAACAAGGGGGCCATTGACAGGAACGCTAATACAAAAAGCCGCATAGACAGAGAGCCATCCAAGCCAGTGTGGTGTGGGGATGACCACGGCGTTCCAGTTTTAATGCTTCTTTTGTTTTCTTCTCACTTTGAGGCAGACAAACCCACAGTCGCATTGACAGAGTTGCTTCTGTTTAGGCCACTGCGTAGAAAAGAGAGGAATAAATAAGAACGTTAAGAGACGCCCCTTGCTGCTATGGCTTCTGTGTGTATGTGTGTGAGAGGCTGGGGAGAAGTGGAGTCACTCTTGGGAAAGGTACAAGCATTCAAGCCTTTAATTTAAGGATGGGAACCTGTGTCCCTCCAGAAGCTGCTGGACTCCAGCTTACATTGACCCCAGCCTGTGTGGCCAGTGGTCAGAGATGATGAGAGGGTCACCAGTTGCCCTCCAAGGTGACTCTGCTATCAGGCCAAGTGAGGTTGCTTCCAAGTGGCCTGTTTATTTATTCTGATTTGTTTAAGGGGAGAACAGAAGCCATTGCACCAAGCAAGTGTTATCCCCCATTTCTAGTACATTTTCCCCATCACTTTCCTTGTTGCAAGAAGACTGATCTTTGGGGGGAGCGAGTTTATTGTGCAAGGGTTCCCAATTATATTTACTTGCACAACCAGAATCCGCTGACATGCGATTTAGCCTCACCCCAAAACAGTGTCAGTCTGGAAGTGCATGGAAGAGGGTGGGGAGGTGTTGGAGGACAATGCTGTGTGTGCCACACATGGCCTGCCATGCACTCCCTAGCCACCTTCTGCCCTCGGTTGAAGAGAAAGTTCCTGCCCTGCTATCACCAGTGTTGACAGAAGATTTGACTTCCAACCTACTTGGGTCTTGCCAATGGAAGAGGAAGGGGTGCCATCTTGTCCTTTGCCTCAGATTCTAGCAAGGATGTGCACTGAACAGAATTAGTGTGTGGAATTCACTGCCACAAGATATGGCGATGGCCGCTGGCTGAGGTGGCTTTGAAGGGGTCTTCGACAAATTCATGGAGGAAATGTCCCTCAATGGGTTACAAATCTTGATGTATATATGCAGCTTCCATATTCTTAGGCCACATGCCCCTGAGTACTAGTTGCCAAGGGAAGACTCTGGAGGAGCCCCCACTATCTATTGCAGGAGTGAGAAACCACAAATATGGTCCTCTGACCCTCTCCAACTGCCCCTTGAAACCCCAGGGTACACCTCTCATTGCTTTGCACTCTGAATGTTTCTTTCCTGGCTGGAATGTGTCCTTCAACTATGACAATGCCTCTCATTTGCCTGAGTGAAGGATTCAGAGGGGTGAGAGAAGAAAGTAGCCTAGGTACAAAGGTGAAAACCAGATCCATTGCTCCACCCACTTTTGCCTCTGGCTCCGCCTACCACTGGCATTTGGGCCTTAGAAGGTTACCCATAAGGAAATGTGGCCCTCTGGCAGAAAAAAAAGGCTTATTGCCTACAAGCAGAGCATGGAGATTTCAGCAATATAAACACTTGGGGGGGGGTACTTTGTGCTTGTTTAGAATTCTTCAGGAAATATTGTGTGGGAGTGGATCTTAAGGCGAAGTGAAGGGAGTTGGGTCATGACTGGTGGCAAGTCCCTAGTCTGGTCTGTGAATTGTTAGAAGGTTTCTGCAGCAGTGCTTTTATATATATATAGAAGAAAATTGTTGCAGTAAGCGCCACACTTTTAATGTTTTTTGGGGGGAGTTGCTGGTACCGAGTACCCTTGAGTACCCCTGGAAAAAAGCACTACTCTGCAGCCATTTCATGTGAAAATGGCTTTCTTCAAGCATATTCTGTTAGAGGGTGTAAACATTGATTGAGTCACTTTAGGCAACAAAGAAGTGCTTTGAAATTAACACATATGGAGTTCAAAAGCCATGCAGGATCCAGAGAATAGACTGAAGTGGTTAGTGCCTCTGTGTGACAAAAGAAATGCCTATGTGATTGTGAGAGACCAAACGCTCAATGCTACAATGAAAAGAGAGCAAAAACTCTCCCACAGATGCAGCAGTTGACAACCATATAAAACAGTGCTGGAAATATGAAATATTGGGCATAAGCCCATCAAAACCAAAGCACTTTAAAATTCCATTGAATGCAATGGGAGATATTTCATTTATTTACTGCAATGGTTTTTGTTGGTTTTGGGGGTTTTTTTGGTTTTGTTTTCCCCCAAAAAATTTATGGCAACTTATGTGGTATTTATGCCACTTTAACAGTCACAGCTTGACCCCAAGAATCCTGGGAACTGTAGTGTGTTAAGGGTCCTTGTGGAGGAAGCTATCACTGGTATTACAATGGTGTGTGCATGGTTTTGAGGGACCTGGGAAGGGAAGAAAATAAATCTAGAGATTTCCACTCCCAACTCCATTGCATCTAAACCTCCTGAGAGGCTGGACCAAGGCCAGCTCCAGGTGTGAGGGCCTCCCACCAAAGTGCCACCAAGTGCCCTCCTGCACCCAAATATGCCTCCCTCAGACTTCTCAGCCTAACCTACCTCACAGGCTTGTTGTGGGGACTAAACAAGGATGGGGAGAACCATATACATCACCGTAAGCTCCTTGGAGGAAAGTTGGGCTATAAATGCAATAAATAATTATAAATAATACTATTAGATGATGATGATGATGATGATTAATAATAATAATAATAATAATAATAATAATAATAATATAATATAAATAAAAATGATTCCACTTCTAACACCACACTGAAGTCCCACTATGAATTTCACACATAGGCTTCCGCAGTTAGGATAGTCCTATTTCATATCCTGGCTTTTTCCTCCTCCTAACCATTTCATTTCTTTCCTTTTTCTATTTGTTCAATTAGCCTAAAGCAAACATATGCAAACTTTTCAATGTAGCCTGCTGTAATCCATTATTCTCACATACAAGGACCCCCCCCCCCCCGCAGCCTGAATAATGTTTTTTGAAGACTGTATCATCAATAAACCATTCTGGTGAGCTTTAGAAGGCCTAGAATAATGAATAACAATTAGGGGCATTTAAAGGGCAGCTCCCCTTTCCTTTGCAATTTGGAAACTGAGTTGTGCTATTTTAGATCATCTACAGTCATCAGAGAATTAAAAACAAAAACAAAAAACACAGACGAATGAAAGAAGACAAGGAGAGCTCCGCTAGATGAGACCAAAGGCCTGTCTAGTTTAGCATCCTGTTCTCACGGTGGCCAACCAGATGTGAAGCCCACAAGCAGCTTGAGAGGGTGATTGGAGGGGCCAACATTGTGCATGATGTCGCACACACAATGCCCCCCATTTCTGCACCTTTGGATCTTCAAGTGAAAACCTTCACAGGAGAACGGGCCCACACTGGCTCGAACTTCCATAAAAAATAAGTGTCATATAAATGTCTTAGATAAATTTTAAAAGTGAAATGTAAGGGGTTAGCATATTACACCCACCCCTGCCCTGCTCCTGTTCTGTAGATGTCCCACCACTTGACATCCAGGAGGAAAGATGGATTTTGGATAGTTGTTAATAGGTGTCACACATGTACCCTCATACTATAACAACAGCAAGGAAGTGTCTTTTAGAGGACACACTGGGGTCCTTTTGGGGCTGAAAAATGGGTGAATCACATTGAAATAAATATAGTAGATACCTTGTTGTTCTTGGATTTATTATCTGCCCTTCACCAGAAGGTTCCTTGGTGGGGTACTGAAAAATAAAATGCAATTTGAAAACCTTTTAAAACAAATTAAAATTGTGAATCCTAAAATATAAATCTCTACAGTGCTTACAAAGGGGGAGAAAGACTCTCATGAGACTAAAAGTATTGCCAGGTCTGTAGCGAAGGAGGAGGCCCTTCGGATGCTGGGGGCCTAAGAGAACATTTGGCTCAGCTTTTTCCCTCCCACAAAATCAGCCCTGTTTAAATCCGGCAAATTGTTTCCCTTTGCAATAAATTAAAGCCACTTTGGGGATTTTTTAAAAACCTTGTTATTGCATTTCATTCATTAGTAAATTGTTAATTTTATTAGAAAGGTGTGTTCGCTCTTTGTTCTTTTCTGTTTGTGATGCTTTCCTTTGCTACAGGGCTCGTCTGTTCCATCTACCAAGCCTTTCCTTGAAGTAATATAATCCTCCTTTTTGGCTTCTTACCCATGTTGACAGCAACCCCCTGAAGATGCAAAGTTGTTCCGCAGGTGCTACCGTACAGTGATACTCATACCTGGCACAGACACTCACCTGTGTGTGACCAAAGAGTGTGTGTGGAAGTGAAGGGGGTGTTTGTCTTTTGCAAAACATGCTACTGTTATTTGCAGACATCCTAGGTGCCAGAAGTCGCTTCCTATGGAACAATCACATTCTGCTGGAGTTATTATTATTTTATGCCAGGAGTGGAGAACTGGCCAGATCTTTACCTCACCACTTCCAACCTGCAGGCAAACAGAGAATCATAGAACTATACATTTGGGACCCCAAGGGCCATCTAGTCCAACTCCCTGCAATGTAGGAATCACAGCTAAAAAAAATCATCTAACAGATGGCCATCCAACTTGTGTGTTTGTTTGTTTTTAAAAAACTTCCAATTCCAACATAGCCTGTTCCACTGTCTAACAGCTCTAACCCCCCCCCCCGAAAATGTTTACTTTTAATTTCCTGTAATTTGAATCAATTGGTTCAGGTCCTGCCCTCTGGAGCAGCAGAAAACAAGCTTGCTCCATCATCTAAGGATCTGAAAGTCTGAACAGACCCTAAGTGTGCCCAGCTATGCAATCTTGGGAACCTATGCAAGTTCAGGAACCCTCCCTTTTGCAGAGAGGATGTGCACATTCAACTGGTATTCTACCTTCAGTGGAGGTCAGGAGCAGGGACAGGACAGTGGACATGACCCTGCTCCTTCCCCCATGTATCCACAGATTCCAACCTTCTGGATGAGCCTCTTGTGTGATTAGGCCTTAAAAGTCCCTCTGCTAGTAATCATGGATGCTACATCCCATTTCACAAAACTGTGTATTCTGTCCATTTGTGGTGTGGAGCATTCCCCCCCCCCCACCATACCATGGCCCATGGGTGTGTAGAAGATGGGTTTTGAGTGTTTCCCCCCTCCCACCAACCCACAACACACCCACACACTATGAAATTGGAAGTGCTTAGTGATGGTTAGCACACTTGAATAAAGATGATGGTGAATATTAATTTAGAATTATTTGAGTATGTGCTTCACTCCACTAAATCTACATGACTTTACTATGGGCTACACAGTTTGTTTATTTTTAAGCCAGGGAATTTAATGTTCTGTGTAATGAACTGTTGCACTGAGCACATTAAGGTGCAGAGGGTTTATCTCCCTGGCTTTTTCCTGTGCAGCGAAAGGATATCATATACGGGTTGAGCTGTTGGTAAATTACCTAATGAAGTGATACCATCACATAGAGGCTGTTTCTATTCCTCCTGATAAGAATTTATCTGTCTTTATTGATTTGACATCTATCTGCTTTATAGGTGACTTGGGAAACTAATGACTGAGGTTGTATTGAATATATGGGACTAGATTTTCAGCTAAACTAAGGGCCAGTTAACTTGTTTTACATACACATGAATTACTGGCGTAAATATAATGAATGGGGATTGGATGTGCATTTTGAGTGCAGAGACTTGTAGCCTAGGTCTTCCAACATTAGTCATTTTAGTGTTGCACCTGTTGTGATCCAGCCATCTCACATGGTGAACTTGCTTATTGCCTGCCTGCAGAGATTCATGGCCCTTACAGAAACCTTCCAGGGGAAGATTCTTAGAACCCAACAACAACCTAAGGCTTTTCAGTCTTCTTAAACCTCTCACAAGAGAAGGCAGCTGGTGCAACAGAAGAACGCTGAACTGCCTTCTGTTCTCTGTTCCCCGCGCAAACCTTGCCCATGAACCCTTAGACTCAGTGTGGCTGGAACATAATAGCATTCCATGTTCACACTTGTAATATGACTAAGAGGCGTGAGCTGGAACACCAAAGAAATAAAACACAAGGGAGAGCATAAGCTGCTGCATTATTGTATCCATCTTTGTGATGTACTCACAACTTCTTTTCTAGCCACTGGGCATCCCTAGCCAACATTAAAAGGACCAGAATTACCACGAAAGTGATGAGGGCCTTTATTACCATCACTATGAATAGATTGGAACCATCTGTGTCCTACTTGGCAGAGCTCCACCTTGCACATCCTCATTGCACTCAAGTGGTTAATGCTCAGAGCGGTGGACATGCACTCTTTGGAAGTTAATCTACTGCAGATTGCAGGGAGGATAATATATTAAAGTGCAATGGAAGGAAGCTGGCATTCATTTTTGGACCGTGGTTTGCACTCTGATTTGATGAGCTAAGCAGAGACCACATCATGAAAAGGAAAAGGAAGCTGGGGCCTGGAATAATGGCCTTATTTGTATCTGAGCGTATTTCTCCCCGTGCCTTTGAGTTGGCAAAGGGCTGCAGTTGAAAAGAGCCGTGGCTGTTGAATGGCAGGAGGATGAGCCTGTCATTCTCTGGCAAGGATGGTGAGAAAGGAAAGGAAAGTTGACATTGGCCAGGTGAGAGAGGTCCATTAGGATGGGGGAAGCACGTACTGAAATGGTTTTTAAGAATCATAGAGGAGGTGTCAGAGTGGAAGGAGCAGCCAACCAATCCTGACAATAGGTAGTACCAGGAAACACCTGTGAAGAAAGGAAACCAACGAGACCCTCAACTGCCTGAATGCGACTGTTGCTGTCTACAGACTTGTGCAAACATCATAAAGGAAGAAAACTTGACTTTTTAAAAAGTACTTCAATAGAAAGAAACTGTGTTCTCCACTCCCCCCCTCCTACTCACATTAACTGTTGCTATCTGTATTTTGCAAGACTGAATCAAACAGGAGGTTGGGTTTTATTATTATTATTTCTCCCCATGTGTTGGGACAGAGGGCTTACTTGAACAAGTTTTTGGGAAGGGGCCCAGAAGTTTATACATGTTGGAACCAAATAGCATTAGAAGTATGCTGGAGGTCTTAGAATCTGGGGTTGAACATCAGGAGAGAACAACACCTGAAGGTTAATTTTCTCAGAAATGTTATCAGCTGAAGCTTTGAGGTTTGGATAGGTAGCTGCAGATTAAGATCCTTGATTAGTGCATATACCCAGAGGTTATGTATCCTGCTTATACAAGGGCAGCAAAGAAAAACATCTTTAAATCAAAAGACACTAAAGATCGCAGAAGGCAGATAGGGGATGTGTAAAAACAAGATAAGCAAAATCAAGGTGGAGAGGGAAAAGGTGCTCCGGAGGTTAAAATAATACAGAAGCCTTTCCAAGTGCATGCTAACTGTGGAAGTTTGGAAATGCTGCAGCTTCTCAGCTAGATGCTACTGGGGACGAACCTTTAGGACTGTCTAGGCATTCATTTATACCATTAGTTCCTGTATGCCCTCAATGGCAAATATAAAGTAGTGTTGCTTCTATAAACCAGTCGTTTTCTGCATTAGACCCGTGTTCTTCAGCCTTGGATCCCCAGATGTATTTGGGCTACAGTTCTCCTCCTCCCTGGGCATTAGCTAAGTTGGCTGTGGACCACTGGGGTTTGTCCAACAACATCTAGGAACCCAGGACTGAAGAAGGCTGCTTTACACTACTTCAGATGAAAAAATTCAGCATGTGAACATTGGTTCCCCTAGGTCAGTACTGTTTACACCAGTGTCAATCTTGAGTCCCCCAATGTTGCTGGACTTTCAACTCCCATCATCACTGACTATTGGCTGAGCAGGCAGAGGGTGATGGGAGGTGTAGTGCAGCAATATATGAGGACCCAAGGATAAAGGATGCTGGTCTGTATTGACTAACAGCTACTCTCCAGGTTTCAGACTTTTCTAGCCATGTCTGGAGATGCCAGAAATTGAACCTGGGACTTCTTGCACCTGAAGCAAGTGGTTGACCACTGAGCTGCAGACCTTTCTATGAACTGAAAACATTGTGCTAACCATCCATGTGAATTTAGAAGGGTGTGTGTGTGTGTGTGTGTGTGTGTGTGTGTTGAAGATGGCTTTAGAAAATTTTAACTAGTGTACAGGTTCAGGAAGAAGGGAGCCCCTTGAATACACAGGCCTTGCTACAATTGTAGGACTGAGATAGAATTGGCACAAACAACCATTGGCGGGACTCCAATTCAGTTTAGTACTATAGTACTAAATGGTCTACTGGGAATTTTGAAAAGGGTGAAACTTCAGTTTGAGTGGGTGGAGTATCAGAAGAACCAGAAATAAATAAATGGTAGTGTGTCCCTTACCTTATCCCATTGTGTTCCTTGATTTTCTTGTTGCACTGCCTCCCCCTTGCAAATTATGCATACTAGGCTGAACAACAGGGAGGGAAGGTTACTCGGAAAGGAGATTGCCTCAGGATGTGGGAGGAAGTGATTCTGTCATCAACATCCTCTGGACATTTTGAGAAGAGGTGGAACTTCTAAGCAAGTTCCTCCTGAGGCAGCACAGACAAGTCGAGTTGAGCTGGCTCCCATCCCTATGTTTCCTGTCTCTCAATTAGCATTGCCCCAAGCCAATGCCACCTACCTGCATTTAGGGTGTCTACTTCTAGTAAACTCCTAGCACAGGGTGTCCTATGTCTCCACAGCCACCCTAGACATTTAGGTGCCTTGGTAGCCAAGCATCGTGCTGTGGCCAGGGGTTCTGATGCCACGTTGCACCCGACTCACCTACATCCTGAAAATGTCCCACAGCTCCGTCTACTCATACTCGGTGAAATGAAATAAAATGCTGGATTGCTTTACATGACACACAGTAGCAGATTGTGAAGTGCATTGCTAGAAAGAACTGTTAACTGCTGCTGTGGGGTGAGCAAAGGAGAGGGGAAGTCTCACCTTTACCTCTAACTTTCGAGAGGTAACATGGAGGCAGAATAAACTCAAGCCAGTGCCATGCAAGCATAAAGTGGCTAACTCGCAGCCACCTGTGCTAGTTCAAGAGACAAAGCTTACATGAATGGCTCTGACTCAATGAGTGTCCACACGTTGCATCCAGCAAGTTTACCATCTGTGTCTATAAACACTTTTTGAATGTATGGTAATGGGTTTATGGGTGCCAGACTCCCCTAGATTCCTGGTTCCCATAGGTTACAATTTAATCAAGGCTTGGAGAGTTAAATTGGATGCCATACTCCTAATTCCTGGACCCAGCTTCCTGTGTTCTGGAGATCACCTGAGATGGGTCATTAAGAGAACATAGGAAAGGTAATAAGTCATTTCAGAAAGCCAAGGAGGGGGCTCTGTGCCAAACAGCAAATGGGTGGGGCCCTTCCTCTAGCTCCGAGATAGTTAAAAGAACAAAAGCCATAACTTTAGAGTGGGAAGTTGGCTGTGATGTGGCCAAGAGTAAAAAGAAGAAGAAGAAGAAGAAGAAGAAGAAGAAGAAGAAGAAGAAGAAGAAGAAGAAGAAGGTTGCAGGCTGGTAAAAGCAGCAAGCTAAAAAGTGAGAGAAGCAGAGCACAATATTTGATGTCTGTTTGAATCAAGGCTGTGGCTATGGGGGAAAGAAGGACCTCTTGGAGTACTGATTGTAGGATTAGGTTGTGTATGTGTGTACATAAACCATATATCCTAAAGACACTACAGGCTCTGCTGTGCCTCACTTCCAAAAAGAAACATGGACCCTGAGGAAGTGCCTGGAAGCCCTGGAATCTCGCACCCCTTGGAGATTTGGGTGGCATGCAACAGTATAGTGCAGATGGAGCCATAATAATGAACTCCAACCCTGAGAAACTGTTCTAGAATTTCTCCTCCCTCTGGAGTAAGCCAGTGAAGTGGTTCTTCCCCACTTGTAGCTTCTCTACCCAAAATTAGGATGGAGAATTTTGAGGGACCATTTGTGCTTAGCTATTGTCTACATAATTCACCGACCAGCCATTGACTGAGCTGCTGTCAACCAGCACTCCCTCACCTGATGCCCAGACTACCAGCCACCAGATAATATAATTCTATAAATGCAAAGCAATCCCTTAGAAATTCATCACAGCCAGCAATCCTACCCTCTTATGCAGATAGTTGGATACTGGTGCTCCTAGTCAACAATTACGTGGCTGTACAAACTCTACGATACCTAGGATGACCTGCCTGCTTGGTTTGTAAATTATGGATACAATAATTATAGACCTCAGAGATTGATGGGGAGGAGCCAGTAATTTTAGCAAATGTGTAGAAATGTCATCTGGAAATACAGGTGAGAAGTTCTAGGGTGTCCAGGCCATTATAGCATTTTCATTTATTCTTGTAGTTTCATAGCACAACAAACTAACCAAGCAAAGACACTGTTTCTTATCTGGGAACCTGAGCTTAGAGGTTGTGGATTATCTCCCATCCAGGCGGGAATTAGACCCTGACCTGCTTAGCTTGAGGAAGATGGGTGCATCATGTGCACTATGACTATGATAACCAATATGGTACCCTGCCAGTGCTTTAGACTACAGCTCTCATCATCCCTAACCTTTGTTCGTGCTGGCTGGGGTTGATGGGCTTTGTAGTCCCAAGCACCTGGATGGCATCATATGCATGATGACCTTGCAAGAGGAGTGCTTTTTTGTATGAAAGACAATGGGAAATGCCTATGACAAGACAATGTCACCTATGACAAGTGTGTGTGTAGTCCATAAACCAGGAAAGCATGCATTTTTCTTTTAAAAATATTTTTCTCACATGCAAGTTTATGCAGATTTAATCAATGAACTGTCTAAAATGCAAACAATTAATCAATTAAAGATTCTTTGTAACCAGATGAGAGTCCCAATAAAAAACACTGAGATGCAATCAGTTCAATTAAGCTGCCATGCTTTAACCCTCCACTCCATCAAATACACATGAATTAGGGGTGAGGAATGTTGAGAATTTTCTTTATAACTTCTAGTTGCTCAAAAGTTAAAATTAAATTAATTAGAATGCCCTGCATTGAAAAAGAACATAGACACAGGAGGCATATCAGAAACCTGGTGGAACAATAAAAATCAATTTGGCACTGTTATCCCTGAGTATGTGATCAATGAAAAATATAGGGTCAGTCAGTGTTGCACTGGCAATGCACTCTATGTCAAGGAAAGCGTAGACCAAAATCCATTTCAACATTCAAAAGAAACAAGCCACAACTAAAAGCCAATGTGGGTAGCAATTCGAGGCTATTAACAAGAAGAGAGCATTACTAGGGATATATGATCATCTGACTGTCCAAGGTGACGGTGATGACATAAAAAGAAAACAGAGAGGCAATGAAAGTGGAGAACAGAATAGTATCCAGCACCCACCCCGCCTCCTAGATTGATTGGATAAATGTCAGGTCAGATCATCACAAAGAGATAACAGTTTCTAGATAAAACCAAATGTCTGGGCTTTGAAATAATGAAGCAACAAGAGATGAGGAAGGTCTCTGTTTATGTCTCCATATTTTTATTCCCCCTTCTCATTTGCATGTTTAGGGTAGCTAGCAAAAAGGACCAGTGCTTAAAATGACTCCATCCATACTCAACAGGTGGGACCTGCAACACAACAGCAGCTTGGCATGCTCCTGTTCAGGATACTGTACCTTGTTCCATTCCCCATTCTCCCTCCTCCCTCACTCCCAAAAGTTGTTGGTTTTAGCCAGTATTCTGTGCTCAGTGAGCATCTTCAGTCTTCATTAGGGTGCCCCTCTTGCTGTTAATGTCGTTTTCTTTTTCGGTATTTCTGCAAATCATCAGTTCCTTGTGATGCTTTCCTTTTTGTGTGTGATTAGTGTTGTTTTGGCCTTTATACTGACTGCCATTTGGAGAACCAAGTTTGCTCTTAGGCTATGTTTACACTAGCATTTACTGCATTCTCCACGCTGTGTTTTTAACCCGTATCCACATATCATTGTCCAAAGCACATATGTATCCTGTACTTTGTTATAAAATTGCACTGTTTGATATGTTGTTTATCAAACCAACTTCTCATCGATTGGAGTCCTCAAGTGGTTCCTAATTTGTGTCTCACCAAGCTGAGCTAGTATCTAAGCTATCTCATTTTTTAGCTGTTAAAATTTGATATTATATTTATTTTTTTAATTACCAAACTATGCGCCTGTGGTAGAAGTCTTGGATGACTTCATGAAGAAGTGTTAGCTGATACCTTTTAAGTGGGGTGCAATTAAATCCTCATAAAAGGATCAATGTGAGAGAACTTGACATGTTTCATCAACTGAGGCCCCAGGAAGGCTAACTGCCACCTTAGAAGTATTCCACAGGAATATAAATGTACTAGGCTGAATTGAAATATGCTTTCATTGCTTTGTGTAAGCAACAGATGAATAGAGTGGGGAGATTCTGTGCCAGCAAAACTCACAAGGCACAGCCCCCCACCTGCCCACCTCATGCACACGTCTTGTATGGAAATATGGAGAGCAAGTTGTAAAGTGGCTCCTCATACAGTGGAACCTCGGGTTGCGAATGTGATCCGTGCGGGAGGCACGTTCGCATCCTGCAGCGTTCGCAACCCACAGCGTTGCGTCTGTGCACGCGCGTGACGCGATTTGAAGCTTCTGCACATGCACCGAAACCCGGAAGTAACCCGTTCCATTACTTCCAGGTTTGGTGTAGTCTGTAACCCAAAAATGCGCAACCCACAGCGTTCGCAACCTGAGGTATGACTGTAGAAGCTAGGGAATGTAACTTGGGGAGGAGTTTTAATTGTGTCCAGGCAATTTACTTCAAGCAGTATTATATCTGTGCCCCACATATTCTGCAGATATCCCATTTGGGTTGCTATTTTGGTGTCCAAATTGGTGTTCCACCAAAGTTAAGAGAGTTGATTCCTCAAAATGTATGCCTGCTTTGTTTCCTTCGTCTTTTTCTCAATACATTGTTTTCAACTTGGTTGCCTCCTCTCCCTCTTCCAGACCACACACAATTATTCTTTCAGAGCATTTATGTTTA